GTTTTTGGAGCAAAAATTAATATAAGACCCTGTCTTATTTTCAGGGAAACACGGTATAACTGACCTTACTATTGCTAGGAAGTGTTATGCTAACCAACCCTTTGTAAGTTTATGACAAATATTATACAGCTATGTGCATATAACCCTGTAGATTGAGTACTATGCATTGTCCATCTGAAGAAGTAGATTGTTACCCATGAAAGCTTATGCTAAAATGACTATTAGTCTTAAAAATACTACAAGCCTTTCACTTTTCTCCTTTTTCTTTTTAATGCATGCTGTAACAGACTAATATGAATTTAATGAAAATGCATTAAATTAAATCAGTCTTAATACAAGTCCGAAAATAATATTATATACAATAAAAGAAGAAACATTTTTGACACAGATTGTATATAATTAAAACTGATATTTTCAAGTTAAATCTAAACATTTGAGTAGGTGACACAAAAATGTAAGAAAAGTCTACTATTTGTAACAGTAGGATAAGAACTATAGACAGATGGTACATCATTCTGAAACCTTGTCAAAGCAAAGAATGAAATCAGAAGTGGTGAGAGATGAACCTCTGGTTTTGAAAATAAGTGTTAAATGGGGCAGGGGGGCTCTGTGGCATATTTAAAAGTTAAGAGGCTTTCAGGGCAGCAGTTGTTTTTGTTTGTTTTAATGGAGCAAGGGATGGGGAAATGGCCATTACAGGGCTATACTTTGCTCACACTGTGTTGTTGATAAACCTATTGTGGTTTACAGTAAGAGGGAGTTTCTCCCAATGAAACTCCCAATGAGAGTGAGTTTCAGTAAAAACTGAAAAGGGAGTTTTGGATTTTATCCAGATGGAGCCAGGCAAATTTCAGCCTCAAAACGGACAGGTTACTTACCTGTAAACATGGTTCTTCAAGTGGATTCTCTATGAATACACACGTCCCGCCCGGCCTCCCCACATGTCCGTCACTAGTACGTGAGGTCCAACTCTCTCTATGTGGCGGGCATATGGAACTGAGCCGTTGGCGGGCGGAGCATGCGCGGTATAGGGTAGCCTAAAACATTGTTACTTTTCTTTCAGCTCTAGAAAATTCCGAGAGGCCAGCGCAGGCGCTGACTAAACCCACTGGTGTGTATTCATAGAGAATCCACTTGAAGAACCATGTTTACAGGTAAGTAACCTGTCCTTCTTCAACGTGGTTCTCTATGAATCCACACCAGTGGTTGACTAGCAAGCACACTTACTGGATGGTGGGCCGTCACTGTAGCACTGAAGTAAGTACAGCCCGTCCAAACTTGGTCTCAGTTTTAGCCCGAAGGTCTAGCTTGTAATGTGTAACAAAAGTGGACACATTGGACCAGGTAGCCGATCTGCAAATCTCCTGGATGTCACCTCCTCTTAATAAGGCTGTTGAAGTGGACACAGCCCTGGTTGAATGGGCTTTGAAACCCTCAGGAATAGGCCTCTTCAGTAGTTCATAGGCCAAAGAAATGGTGGAAACCAACCATCGAGACCACTGGTTCTTAACCTTGGGTTACTCAGGAGTTTTGGACTGCAACTCCCAGAAGCCTTCACCACCAGCTGTCCTGACTGGGGTTTCTGGGAGTTGCAGTTCAAAAGCATCCGAGTAACAAAGGTTAAGAACCACTGATCTAGACAGAGAGGAAGATGAGGCAGGTGCACCCTTGCGTTGTCCATAGAAGCAAAGAAACAACTTAGGAGTTTTCCTAAAATCTTTAGTTCTGGTAACATAATAGGCCAAGGCCCTTCGAACATCCAAATAATGGAGCATGCGCTCAACATCCGTAACCGCATCAGGGAACAACGTGGGCAAAATCAAAGGCTGGTTAATGTGGAACTCTGAAACCACCTTTGGGAGAAAGGAAACATCAGGATGCAGGACTACTTTATCCTTAAAGAACTGCAGATATGGAGAATCCGCACGTAAGGCTGCTAGTTCACCTGCTCTTCTAGCTGAAGTGATGGCAACCAGGAATAAGGTTTTGTATGACAAAAGTTTGAGGTCACACGAAGCCATAGGTTCAAAAGGATGTCTGGTAAGACAATGCAGCACAGACTGTAGTGACCACTGGGGAACAGGTTTCTTCAATGGCGGCCTTATGTTAGACAAACCTTTGAAGAAGGCTTTAAGTGTCGGGTGGGAAAACCAACGTGATGACTCAGAGGTTGAAAGGCCACAATAGCCGAAGTATAAACCTTCAGAGTAGACTTAGACAAGCCAAAATCAAAGAGATGTCTTAAGTAAAGCAAAAGAGTGGATACGGCCACCGGAGAGGGTTATAAGTTGCGTTCCCTAGCGAACCTCAGAAAGTTTTGCCACTTGTACTGGTAGAGCAATTTAGTGGCTGGTTTTCGGGCCTTATCAGTGACCTCAATTAGGGAGGGGAAATCCTCCACGCTGTCAAGGGAAGGGTTTCCACATCCAGATGTAGAACAGTCCCGTCATTCAGAGTGAGTAGCTGTGGATGTAAGGGCAACATCATGCTGTCCACGGCATTCTGAAATAGTGTGGAAAACCACGGTTGACGTGGCCACCAAGGGGTGATTAGAATCGCCTCTGCCCTCATTTGCAGTACTCTGACAATGGTTCTTTGAAGAAGTGGTATCGGTGGGAACAGATATAAGAGGTTCTTGTCCCACGGAACCATGAATGCATCCCCTAAGGATCCTTCTTCTCTCCCGGCTCGGGAAGCGTAAGTCAGGCACTTCTTGTTGTGGGTCGTGAACATGTCCACCGATGGCTGACCCCATTTGTGACAGAGTGTGAGAAACACCTCCTGGTCCAATTCCCACTCGTGAGACTGGAAGGAACGGCGGCTCAGCTCGTCCGCCAGTTGATTGTCCGAGGTTGAGACGTGGATGGCTACCGGAAAGATGTGATGCTGGTAGCACCACTCCCATAGATGTACAGCCAGAAACAGAAGGGACTTTGATCTGGTTCCTCCCTGCTTGTTCAGATAGAACATTGTGGTGGTATTGTCTGTTACTATCTGTATGGCTCTGCCCCTCACCAGGGGAGGAAAGGCCCTGAGGGCTTTTACAACCGCCAACATCTCCAAATTATTGATGTGTAGTGTGGACTCTTCTGGAGACCACAGAGCATGGATCCGATGACTGTCGCAGTGGGCCCCCCAACCGACTGGACTGGCATCTGTTGTAACCTGCCTTGTAAGTTGTATCGGCCTGAAGGGTCTGCCAATCAGAAGATGTGGGAGAAATGTCTACCACTGAAGCTGATGTGCGAGCTCTGGTGTGACTCGGAGGCGTTTTCTCTGGCTGTCCCTCGTGGGATCGAAGAGAGTGAGCAGCCAGGACTGAAGGGAGTGCATCTTGAGGCGTGCATGTGATACAGTAGCAGTTGTCGAAGCCATTAGGCCCAACAGGTGTTGTGCTACCTTGGCAGATACCATCCCCCGAGGTCTGAACTTTTCCACCGCCTTCTTGATCTTTTGAATGTGCTCCTGGGGAAGGAACATACGTGCATGCACTGCGTCCAGACGGACACCTATGTAGTCCATCACCTGGGAGGGCTGCAGGTGTGATTTGTCGTAGTTGATGGACAGACCTAGAGCTTGCAGGGTATGAAGAACATAATGAGAGTCCTTGTATGCCCTTGCCTTGGATGTGGACACGATGAGCCAATCGTCGATATACGGGTAAATTTGAATGCCCTGTAGTCGAAGGTAAGCGGCTACTGGGGCCATGCACTTGGTGAAGACCCTCGGTGCCGAGGACAGGCCGAAAGGAAGGGCCACAAATTGGTATATCGTGTCCTTGAACATGAGACGTAGATACTTTCTGTATTTTCGGTGGATCGTAATATGAAAGTAAGCATCCTTGAGGTGCACTACTACAAACCAATCTCCTTTCTTCAACAGGTGAAGGATCCCCTCCAGAGTGACCATCCTGAAGCGTCAAGGTTGGATGTAAGCATTGAGGTCTCTCAAGTCCAAAATGGGCCTCAAACCGCCGTCCCTTTTCGGTACCGTGAAGTACCGGGAGTAGAACCCATTCAGAATGTCGCGTTGAGGGACCTTTTGGATGGCTTGCTTCTGAAGAAGGCTGAGAATTTCGTCCTCTAGGATGGGATCGAATGAGGTAGGCCTGACCCACCCTAGAGGAGGTAACTCTGTAAACTCCAGCCGGTAGCCTGAGCTTATAATGTTTAAGACCCAGGAGTCCTGGGTGATCCTGTACCAGTTGTGAAGATGAGGAGACAGTCTTGTGAGTTGATGAGTGGCCTGGATGGAAACTTGAAAGTCAAAGATATTGTTTTGACTTTTCCCCGAAGGCTTAAACGACTGACGCTTGTAAGACTGAGGTTTAAAGCTGGAGGCCGAGGACGAAGCCTGAGAAGAACGCGGAGCCCCCTGAGACCTGAAGGACCGGTATGTTGAAGGCCCAGGTTGCTGGTAGGCTTGCTGCTGAGGTTTAGGTCGCCACTGAAACTTGGTGGTTCTAGGCTGTTGTTGTATAGCGTGGGGTGGGGTCCCATGATCTCTGTAACCAGCCCCAGTCAGCACATAGGACAACTTCTGACTGTGGTAATATTTTATGGTATGACTAACTAATAAGTACTGTAATGTGTTAGTCACTATTTCTTGTGAGTAATGCATTATTTGCAGGTAGTGAGTATGGGATTGTTGTAATGTGCTGTCAAGTTGGAACTGACTTATAGTGACCCTAACAGGGCTTTCAAGGTAAGTGAGATATTTAAGGAGTGGGTTTATCAGTTCCACTCTCCCAATGAGTTTCCATGACTCAGCAAGGATTCAAACCCAGCCCTCCGGAGTCCTAGTCATCACTCTATCCACTGTATCACACCGGATGTCCAGTAGTTATGGAGCCTTAGGGTATATAGCCTTAGAGTAAAGACAGCATTCTTCAGGTAGAGGCTTCAAAAACAGTTTAAAATAGGAGGGTATTTTTAATGAAAACCAAGCTTAATCACAGCCACCACTCAGATTCACAGAACTGCTGATTTTTGTGGGTTTATGGATTTTAAAAATAATTTGTGTTTAAAACTTTGCTATTAAGTCCCAGGGCCGTGGTGGCGCTGCAGGCTAAACCGCAGAAGCCTTTGTGTGCTGCAGGGTCAGAAGACCAGCAGTTGTAAGATAGAATCCACGCGACGGAGTGAGCTCCCATCCCTTTGTCCCAGCTCCTCGCCAACCTAGCAGTTCGAAAGCATGTAAATGCGAGTAGATAAATAGGTACCATCTTGGTGCGAAGGTAAACAGCGTTCCGGGTCTAAGTCACACTGCCCACGTGACAACGGAAACTGTCTTCGGACAAACGCTGGCTCTACGGCTTGGAAACGGGGATGAGCACCGCCCCCTAGAGTCGAACATGACTGACTAAAAATGTCAAGAGGAACCTTTACCTGTTAAGTCTCTATATTAACAAGTATGAGCAAGTTCTAAATGTATATAGATTTGTGATAAATACATCCAACCTTTGTTAGATCAGGACTGTTCTATGGGAGTTCAGCATAAGGGACTGATTATTACCATTTCATCTATAAATACAGCAGCCACATGGGCTAATTTTAGAAGTCCAGTCCTTCAGTCATGAGTAATAGAGAAGCATATTTTTCCCCCGAGACTACAAACAGATCTTGTTATCTACAGCTAAAAACTGTCATTCCTACCCACCGAGGTACTTGATTTTTATTGCACATTCAATGAAAACCAAATCCTGAAATCTTATATGTATCTCCAAGAGAGAGAACAAGAACAAGCTCTTGTCCTTTTTTTTTAAACCGCAACAGCCTCTACACTCTTTCAGTGTCACATTACTGCTTCACCTGACACCTCGGGATCAAGCACTGAGCAAGGGTTTGAGCTTGCCTATCCAGTAAGGTTTTCTTCTTACGTCCATCTCTGACAAATTTCATTACAAATATGTAAGAATCAAATTAAACAAATAATTGCAATAGGGCATTAAAGTCACAAAAGAGCTTCCCTTACGAAATTTGTTATCTTCAGGAACAAAGAACCTGATATACTCTTAACAAGAATGCAAATATTAACAGGCAATTCTGTAGACCAGTTTTATTCACAGTAGGGGGAATTACAGAGTAGGGGAAATTACTCCTGGACCCCAGTCTAACTCTGGAAGCCCAGGTGGACTCGGTGGCCAGAGGCGCCTTCCTTCAGCTGCGGAAATTGTACCAGCTACGGCCCTACCTGGACAAGCGGAGTCTCATGACAGTTACACAAGCACTGTTAACATACTGTATAGATTATTGCAATGCGCTCTACGTGGGGCTGCCTTTGAAGACAGTCCGGCGACTGCAACTGGTCCAGAATTGAGCTGTGCGGCTGGTGAGTGGTGGGGCCGCTAGAGAGCTACCATAAATAAACTTAGTTCTACTTTAATAACTGCAAAGAGGAATTAATTAGAAGTAATATCTTATTTATAACTGTTTTTCCCCACAGAGAGCTTGGCCTGCCATACAGCAATGTGAATCTGATGAATAGGTGTCAAATGACTGTACATGAGGGGGCCCTTTTGAAAGAGCCGTCCCTTAAGGAGGTAAGGGGGATGGCTTGTAGACAAAGGGCCTTTTCGGCAGCTGCCTCCTGACTATGGAATGCCCTCCTGACTGAGATTTGTCTGGTGCGGACGCTGATGACATTTCAGCGTCAGGTCAAAACCTTTCCGTTGCAGAAGGGTTTTAATTGAAATAACATCAACTGTGGGTCCTGATGGCAATTTTTAGAGTATCTATTTTAATTGTATTTTAATTGTTTTATCTTTTATTTTATT